CCATGCGATAATCAGATTACCACCGAAATAGCCTAAAAGAATCACACAAAGACTAGATATCCCTTCGGCAGAATTGAAAAAGGCGACCCTCCGCAATCCAATAACATTACCTGTCACCATATTTCGCCCATCGGACGGCTCGAAATAAAATTAGGCGATTACTGCACCTCGGCTCGGCTCAGCCGTTACTCCAGCTTCTCTGCCAACGCTATTTCGCAACATCGCTCATCGGCACCGCTTGACACTTTGCCAAGAGCACTGGGTAAAACTAACCAGTTCTTAGAGCAATTACTAAAATTCGTCCCGCCTCGGCTCGGCCGGCCTCATGCACGATTTGCGAACGACTTTTTTCAGGTATCCTTACCCGGCTGCAGCAAAGGATGCTGAATGCCGCAGAGGGTGGGGGGTTGAGTGCGCGGGTCCTCGGCTCGAGATGGGAGCACGGGGGAGGGGTTCGGTAGGGTGGATTGGATGGTTACATAGCGTGGATCATTTTGCGGTTGCATAGGTCACGTAAGAGGGGAAAAAGGGGGGAGGGGGTGATAGGTGATAGGGAGGAAGGAGTGTACTCCTGGTTTTGCCTCTGGATGGAAGTTGCTTTGCAGGGAGGATTTCGGAAAAGAGTGAAGAAAGGGGACGAGGACAGAAGTCAAGAGTTCGAGGCAAAAACTGCAGAGTGCCGTAAAGAAAAAGGGAAAGCAGGAATCACAAAAAAAAAGTAAATCAAAGGAAACCTAGGCAAAATCAGAAGAAAAATGTGAACCTAAAGCAAAAAAAAGTAAAGGCAAACAAAAAACAACTTATTGGCAACATGCGTTTTCTGCATCGCATAGATGCAAAAAATGCTTAAAAGTCTATGCGAGTGAGAATTGTCCTATAAAAAACCGATCACTGGAGGGGCACTTTCCCATTCACATATCTGATGCTTAGGTGAAACTGAGAGCCAATATGGCAAGGTTTTGTAGGTAAATCTGAGAACTTTCAGCTTTACCTAAGCATCAGCTCCATAAGTACAGAATCTCACCACTGCAGAAGCTTAAGCAAAAGAAAAACCCTTCATCAGTAAAGGATTTCCCACTTATGAAGCTGGTGCTTAGGTAAAGCTGAGAGCCAATAAGGTAAAGCTGCGCAGGTAAAGCTGAGAGCTCTCAATTTTGCCTACGCACCACCCTTGCAAATAGGGAAGTCCAAAGCTACGGACGAGCTTTTAAAAAAGAATTTCTATCAGTAAGTCTTTTTTTTGCTTGTTTTTTGCTTCTGTTTTCTCGGTTTTTATTTTCTTTTGCTTTTTTCAGCTTTATTCCGATTAGTTTCGCTTTTTTCGTTTTTCTTTCACAGTTTCAGGCTTTCTTTAATTTTCTTTGTACTGCTGTGTTGCCTCTTTCCTTTTATTGTTGTCCCCAGTTCTTGCCTCGAACTCTTGCCTAGCAGCCTTGTCCCCCTTCTCTTCCTGCCTTCATAGCAGCATCCGGAAACGCCTATCAAAGTACCAAGCGACGTCAGCAAGCGTATAGCAGGGAAGCTAAAGTGACAGTCGAGCGTTCACAGATCGTGTATGACGCCGGCCAAGCCGAGCTTTAATAATTGCCTAATATACGCCCGCTTTGTGCAAAATGCACTCGTTTGTGAGTTTAATGGGATTAATGAGTCAACCAGTGCAGGTCATGGGTAATTTTACTATAGACGCTGGGCAATGTGTGCCTGGGTGGTGGGTGGGTTCCCAAGATGAGCGCCATGACCCGCGTGGTACCCAAGTAACAGGCCACCAAAGTTTTTTAGAAGCTGCTAACTAGGGAACCAGAAATGCTTGGGGGCTGAAACTTTAAGGGGATGTTTCCCTTTCAAATAGATATTAATGAGCTCAAACCCAGCCCCCGAGCAAGCGTGGTACCCGCGTACGGACCCACCAAAATTTTTTTCTAGAAGTTGATAACTCGAGGATCTGAGAAGCTAGAAAGCTGAAATCTTAGGGAGATGTTCCACATCCAAGTAGTTATTAATGAGCTTCGCACGGGCAGCCCTTGCGTTGGCCAATTATTTAGGTTAGGAAAAGAAAGACTCTAAAATCGTTTTGTTACGCATGAAGGACAGTAGATTTCAAAAATTATCCCTTTCTCGTTTCTACAAAATCTTCAGTAGGCACAGCTAACTAACTGACCAATAAGGCTTGTGGTTGAATAAAAGCAAGCTGGATTCCAAAATCCACCAGAACAAATTTTCGCCCTAAGAGCGAAGTGACGACGGGTTGCATGCATCGTTACCAGCTCCATACGAAATACCAAAGTGCGAACACATCGGATTCCAACTACTTAGATTGCTTTCCAACGGATCACATTTTTATTTAAAGCAGCAACTGATTAATAAAATTGTCGACCATTTTCCGTTTTTTTCTCATTTTCATGTTTTAAACTAAGAAATTTTTTATTAGTTCTGTCCCACAGAAAATCAGCGATATAACATATATGTGCGCATTTACAAGATTTACAGATCCGAAAGCATTTATCAGAAAAAAATGACTCCCGCAAACAAATACAGTTTCTTTTGAATTCAGTGAATGCAGTCGCGAGTTTCGCCCTTGAATTTTCCAGCGAGCTCGATTGTTCCTGCATTGTAGAATCGGCTCGGCACTTTACCGCTACTTATATAACTGTCAGGAATCATTATGCTAATTTTACGCTGGCATGGCTGAAATATCATCAAATCATTGGCGACGCGCACCGTGTTTCACCCATATTCTCGCCAAAAATTTTCACAGGGCCGTACGTGAAAACTACGCATGCCTGGGAGCTGAATTTGATAGATTTAAGTTGCAGATGAGTTGAAAACATTCCCTTAAAATCTCAGGCTCCCAGCTTTCCCAGTTTCCGAGTTTCCCATATTCCCGCCAAAAGTTTTCACGAGGCTGCGCGTGGCAACCACGTATGCCGGGGGATTAAGTTTGATAAATTTAAGTTGTAGATGAGCTAGTAACTCCCCTGGTAATTTCAGCCTTCCAGCTTTCCTGGTTCTCGAGTTAGAAATTGGGTGAAAAAGTCCGAACACTCACGGACGACCTCTCGACAGTATGCATTTTTGATCGCTGTAGCAGCACAGCAAAAACGCATAAAAACCCATCCACCTTTTGGACACACCCTTTACCTAGCGACAGCCATAACTTCGTTCCAGCGCTCTACTGCTATTTAGAACGTTCACTTTTTCTTTCCTTTTTTTCTATCGTTTCCGTATTTAAGGTATTGTATAAAACTATATTATTGCGCTAATCTAACAAATATGTTGTAGGATAATTGGTAGTTAATCCACACACCAATCTTGTCATAAATTTAGCAGCGTCACAAAGGATAATATTTTTTAGCGTGCCAGTTCACGATTGACAGGGACCTGTTATTCGTACAAGTCGTTTTTTTTCCGAACTGGTTCCAAACAAGCATTTAGGAAGCATAGATATTCCGTGCTAAGGGAATTACTAATCACCTAATGCCTCTTGTAATAAACTCTTTAAGAGAGACGAGACCGTTCGAAAGAATCAGCAAAGTCACCACCTCACAACATTGCTGTTAATATATGCATAACCTAAGCATAGATTCTGTGACGCACATCAAGAACAGTTTATCACAAAACGAGTGGGCATGTTGTAGAGGAATTATAGAGCCGAATCCACAACCTCGGGGTGAGAGCAGTCATTCTTGATTACAGTCTGGCAACGCCCGGATCTGATCCCAAGTTTTTATGCAGCCAGATCCACTTATTTTTAGTTTCCTGCCTTTTTGAAAAAATAATTGCCCAGCGCACCGATTGCCGGTGTGCAAATGCGTTTTTTTGCGCATCTCTTGCAGGTTTTTGTTGCTAACGACACTATTTTTGTCTGGTAGATGCTTCTAGCTAAAAGAATTGAGACTGGCCATCGCGACTGTGAGAAAGCACCCCTTTAGCATTTCAGCTTTCTAGCTTTTCTGATTTCCAACTTAGCAACTTGTCGGCAAAATAATCCAACAGACCCGTATGTGGAGACCACATGAGCACGTGAGCAAGAGTATTGGGGACAGGGCTCATAAATGCATGTAGATTATATTCCCAAAGTTTCAACCTTGTAGCTTTTGTAGGTCTTGAGGTGAAAAAACGGTACAGACGAACATATCGACAAGATGCGTTTTTGCACTGCATAGATGCAAAAAACGCACAAAAATTTGGATATGTTTTCGTTATAATAAGTTTTCGGTTCACGCCAAGACGGATAATAAAGATAATATAGCTGAAGTGAAAAAATTATTACCTTCCACCCATCATTGCAGTCGTGGTAAATGTTAATCTTGGGATCAATCGGCGATATTTCATTGATATGTCCCGAAATACGGAAATGGCCTTGCGAGTCGGTTTTACCCTTTGCCATGAAATCATCCGTATCCAGACCTTCAAGCAAGAAAAAAAAATGCCATTGGCAGGACATATTTTAAAAAAAAACATTCCGACTTTCACTAATTTCTTGACTAGATCATTTTTAGCTGAAATACCTGAAATATCTGGTATATTTGCAACCTGGGTCTTTAACTATATAATTGGCAACTTTCTGACGATTAGGATCTTATGCTTTCCGCAACCACACCATCACAGATATTTAAGTTCGTGAGTGGAAACAGCATGGTAATAGCTGTCTGACGTTTTTTCAGCAATAGCACCCAATGTGATCCGACTGCATTTCCATGGATTTCAACTTGGGAAGCAGAGAATTTCAACTCTCTGCCTACATGCAACCTCATAAAATTAAATTCAACCCTCATATACCCCCAAGTATCATGTATGCCCCCGCGAAAGTTTTGGTAGAAGAGAATTATTACCTCGGAACCCAAAAAGTTGGGTTGCTGAAACTTTATTGGAATATTCCCCGCTTAATTGTGACCTTTAAATTTAAATTCAGTGTTCACATTCCTCTTGCCGCGAACGTTCTGACGAGGAGGATCGCTGTCTCGGAAAGCACGAAAGCTGGGAAGCTGAAACTTTAACAGAATATTCCTTGCCCACTTGGAGCTCGCAA